TGATTACTAAATCTCGCTTAAGATGGGCTGGTGACGTATGCAGGATGCAAGAAAACCGCCTACCGATATATCTACTTTACGGTGAGCTTGTAGACGGTAAATGGAAACCAGGTGGATAACACAAAGGATACAAGGATATTTTCCATGAAAACTTAAAGGAAGTAAGCATATAGAATCAGTGGGAGGAAGCAGCACATAATAGAACGCAATGGAGAAGAACCACAACCAAAAAGTAAAGAAGCAACAAAGTAATGAGATTTTTGAAGGTATGGAGTGCTGAAGAGAGATGCATTACTTATTATCTTAGCATTACGTAAGCGCACAAAAGAAAACGCCTTGCGTAACCATCTGCTGATGTGTCAAATACTCGTCAGCGAATAATGGCAGTCAGTAAGTAATTTTTTAAAGTTTGATGCTCTCTAACGATCAAATGAAGCACTTTTATATAACATATACATGTGAGATATATTGTGTCCAATGAACTTATTTTTATTCCAAAAATACGTTGTGATCGTATGTTCACGAATGTTAACAGTATTTCATCTCGAATTTTGTAGTTTGAGCAGACCAACAGTTTCAAACACTCCTACCTAACGGTACGGCGACTAAACATTTTTTAAATTGCAACAAATTAAACAAAATATTTGATGGTTTTTCCTAATTCCTAACGCTTTATCAACGGCCTAGTGAGAACAACCTTGTCCGCGGACGGTTACCATAAATGCCATCATCTTTAGGTAATAAAAACGTCACCGTTTGTTAATAAATTACAACGAAAATATGCCGCAAATGTTAAAAGCAAAACGAGGAGATGCGTAGTTATTTTTTTCGTAGTCTTTGGGTTTTATAGTGTGTTGGCAAAGTCGAATTTTGATATATTTATACTATTATATTTAATTATTGGTTAAGTAACATTTTAGTCAATTTTAAAGAAACGTGTATTATTTGATAGTTTCATAATTTAGTCAAAACAGGTTTCTAGCTATCGATTCACTAATTTTTACGGCGTATGCTAATAAGAAAATTGTTATCAAAATCAATGTTGATGACATTAAAACTAAAAGAGTTTCGGACTTCCATTGTCTTTATTTATTTTTGCTTACACGTTTCTGTTAGTTATCAAGTGTGAACTGAAAGAAAGTGAGAAATGTTGATGACGTCACAATGCTTTTTTTATTTTAAATTGTAAACATTTTTAAAACTGATCCACATTCGATTTATAAAAGTATCATTGAATAATATAAAAATCATTAATGAGAACTATTATACAGGGTGGTCCGAACTGTATTCCGGAAATTTCGGCAGCATATTCTGCAGATAAAAATAGGTAAAAAAGTTCGTATAAATGTATGTCCTAAAATGCTCGGTTTCGGAGATACAGGGTGTAGAACTTTCATTTTTATTTCGATTTTATATACAAATAACTTCTGAAGTAACGTCAATATTTGGATGAAAATTGGTGTCTGGGAGTTTTTTGACATGAGAAATATGACTTTGATGTCAATATGATTCCTGCTTGTAGAGGGCGCCACCTACATATTTTTTAACTGGTTTGATGAGTAATAACTTTTCGTCCGTACCTGTATAAAACTACTGAATCAAAAATATACATTTGCGACGTTTTTTACGTAAAAAAGGTCTCTTGGTAAAAATCGCTACGAGTAATGGTTCTCGAGATATTTGAAATCGAAATTATCAATACCTTTCATCATTGACATAAATTAAACATGAGTTGGCTAAATAGTTATTAGACTAAAATCATAAATTTGAAATGTTTTTGTGTCAAAAGTTTAACAGAAACTGTTTTATCACCATTTTTTTGCAGAAAAATGTATGACTAATTTAAAAAAACAAAAATTTTCCAAATTTATTAGTTTAGTCAAATAACTATCTACTCAACGTGTTTATTTTTTGTCAATAATGACATGTATTGACTATTTCCATCCTAAATATCTTGAGAACGGTGGCTCGTAGCGATTTTTGCTAAGATACATTTTTTACGTAAAAACTCGGTAAAAAGTCATGCAGATGTATATTTTTTTACTCAGTAGTTTTATTTACGGACGAAAAGTTATTGACCTTCAAAACAGTTAAAACGCATGTAGATGGCGCCTCCTACAAATAGGAGTCATATTGACATCAAAATCAAATTTCTCATGTCAAAAAACTCCCAGACACCAATTTTCATCCCAATATTGAAGTTACTTTAGAAATTATTAGAAAAAAATGGAAATAAAAATAAAACTTCTACACCCTTTATCTCCGAAACTAAGCATTTTAGGACATACATTTATACGAACTTTTTTACTTATTTTTATCTGCAGAATATGCTGCCGAAGTTTCCGGAATACAGTTCGGACCACCCTGTACAGGTATAGGGGGAAGTGGTCTTAAATTTAAATGTTCGTACACTGAAAAAATTAATTTTTGAATTTAATAACAATTTGAGGGTTAGTTTTTTAACTCGTTAGCAAACTGGCTGTATGACTAATTTGTGACATGTATATAAATATGTTATAATTATATCTTTATTTTTGTTTTTTTTATGTTCTTTGACCTTTAAAATTATATTTTTATATATGTTTTCTCTAGGTCAATAATAATTTTCCTTTTATTTCATTAAGTACATTTATTTTTTTATACACCGTCTTACGTTACGACCATTTTTTTGGCCTTCATCAGAGTCCAAGAACTAATGACTTATTAGTTATTGTATGCAGGTCGTTGGCCCTATAGTCAGGGCCGGCGGAAGGCAAATATTGAGACCGGGCGAGTACCCTATCTGGCGCCATCCCCCCAACCCAATATTATTATAATTCTCTTTTTCTCTTCTTTCAATACTATCCTTTAACAACAACTAAGCGTATTTTATTCTACTGTAACAATAAATTTTCACTTAGAGATACTTCAAAATTCTTCTTTTTTTTTCAATCTTAGTCTGCGGTTGTTGTTTTTTGTATACCGGGTGCGTCTCGAAATTGACTCACCCCTATAACTTTTTAATTTTTTTACATAAAAAACGAGATTTGGTATGTTAGTATATGACATAAATTAGGATTGATTGACTATTTAGTTGTTTTTGGCCACTTCCTGTTTCACCGGAAATGACTAAAACTTTTGATTTTTAAATGGCACCTCGGTATATTTCTACTTTATTTGATAGAAAATGACACTCTGAGTAGAATGACATATCATATGTCAACTTTTGACATTTTCATCCAAAAACATGATATTTTAAATTTCAATCTAGAGTGCCATGGTTCTGTTAAAAACACTAATTGTTAAACAAGGAGCCTTGGAAAAATAGATTTGATCGTCTAATGTTTTTCGTGTCTTGTCCTGGCCGGTCCAAAAGATGCCAAAATCGTATTTTTAATCGAAAATATCAAAAGATGACATATGTCATAAAGTAGAAATATACCGAGGGTGCCATTTAAAAATCAAAAGTTGTAGTAATTTCCGGTGAAACAGGAAGTGACCAAAAACAATTGAATACGTCAATTAATCCTAATTTATGTCGTATACTAACATACCAAATTTCGTTTTTTTTTCTGAAAAAATAAACAAGTTATAGGGGTGAGCCACTTTTGAGGCGCACCTTGTATATAGAGTTATGAGAGTTATGAGAAATATAATTCCAACTTCGGAAGTCTCGTTCTGGTATAAGTAATCTTTGAAAATATTAGTATTTAGTTTCAAGCAGTTGCATTATTTTTCTATGAGAATTTAAGAAAATTTTCTTTTCTTTTTCACAATCAATTATTTCGTGCACAATCAGTTTATGATCAAATACAGTTTTGTGGGCTTTAAAATGAGATTCAGCTAGTGATTGAGATGCATTCCTTTGTCTTGCTCTAATGAGAAAATTCTACGATTCTGCTACCATTTTCCGTGTTTTATTATACACATTCAATTGGGAAAATGAAAATCACCAAGATTGATATATTTTCCTACTACTGTTAATAAATTAATTTAACTAATGAGGCAAACTTATAAGCTTTTTTTGGATAATAAGGATATCGATATATAATTTTAGGGTACATCAGCCATTAATAACAAATAAAAGGGTAGTAGAAAAAGTGCGATTTTGAGCAGTCAGTCTAAAACTGTCAATTTTGCTGGCTCTTGACCCAAAACAGTTTGTTTAGAGAAAATTTATAAAAACAACAATTATAGAAAGAAACGTAATTTACAAAAACTTAATAGCTTTTGAATTATAAGTAAAATACCGCGAACAAATCAGATTTATATTTTATTTATTTTATTTTGTTTAAGATTTTTCCACGAAAATGAATTTGCAAATCCCAGTTTCGTATAGAGTACCCAAAAAACATATAGAATGGAAGAAATTAAAACTATCCCAAAGCTTTCGTGCAAGAATTTAAATTCAGTAAACTATAATAGGATACGTCTAGTAGTGTTTATAATGTTTAGTCAGATATTCTTCCCTATGTGGTGTGGTAATTGGTAATATTTTAATGTGGAAATTGATAGTACCGATTAATTATTGATCTGGTCATTCGTTACTCTTTGATTAGATTACCGTTTTTAAATATTTTAGTTGCCATCGTGGCGCCCATATAAAAAAATAAATGTACTTAATGAAATAAAAGGAAACTTATTATTGACCTAAAACCAAGAGAAAACATATATATATAAAAAAAATTATATCTTTATATACACCAATTATTCTTCATGAATTTATTTAAAAAATGTGTATTTCATAGTAAATTTACTTATTCATTGCAAAATTTCTCTTTTAAAGCTGCCAACTCCTTATACTATTTCTATATAGAAACAACAAAAAATAAAAACATTTTATTATAGTGAATTTACAAACTATTTGTAATAGTCTATTACAATTACTTTTGTAAATTCGCAAATCCTTAGTAAATATTAATAAACTTAATAAAACGCGTGTTTATAATTATAATATTTATTATAAAGGTTAATAAAAAGTCACAAAAGAGAACTTATGTATGTAAGGTACTTTTGCCCATCTCTTCTTATCTAGAAGAACCTTACTGGAATTCTGCGCCTAACCAAAACAGGATAAAAATTGTCATTAGATACAAAAATAAAAAAACATGCAAGAGAAAGGTATCTAATCAAAAAAGTCAATTTACCAACTTAGAGATATGGACTTATTGATGTATAGAGTCCTCTACTCCGGTCCTCTACTTTGTCCTCCATTACACAGTCTAAAAGAATAAATAGCACTTAGAGATATGTAGATATAGAGAGATCATGGAACCATTATGTTAAAAAATCTCTAAAATTAAGGTGCAAATAGTTATAATAAATGGAGTTAGGATTTTCTAATAGGGTAGGCTTTATATTTACAGAAACTACATAGAAACATACTTAATATAATACACTTAGCCTTAAATTATAAAAACACTAATCACCCAGGCTCCCACCTGTTCCAAAAATTTGTTTAACTTAAAATATTCTTCATCTTTCCTCTAATTATGTTTTCAATCGATTAATTAATTCGCATCAGCTTCACAAGAAGTCACGTGGCGTGGCGTCATTTTTTACTAAATATATTATGGTAAATTCACACAAGGTTTTGTGAATATGTCTAGAGACATGCAATTTTACTACAAAATTATATTTCTGATTTAAATTTAATTTTTAAACTCACAAAACTTATTGTGAATTTATTTAATATATCGTTTCTTTTTAGCTTGTACTTTATTAGACTTTTATTAGAGTAAAACAGAACTAACTATACTATACGAAAAAGCTGTCGGATTTTCTTTTTGAAGAAGCTAATATTTTTTGAAATGAAATTATAGCTTCATTTAGAACCTCGCAATTAGTGGAATAAATTACTGGTTTCAATTAGCGTAGAAGTTTGTTCGTTTAATTTCAATGTAAGCATTCAGAAAGTCAAAGTTAGTGGTAGACATTTTCAATTAGTAGAAAAAGTTATCAAACCTTTAACTTTTCCACTAATTATACTTCAAAATTTGCGAGATATGTCATTTTGGCCTTTGATTATCTTCCGTCAAGAGAAATTGTAGTTAGAAATCAAAACTCGATTGTTTAATAAGCTAAATATTAGGCTTTCCCGATGGATATAACTGACTAACGCAAACTGTTGCTAGGATATTTTATTAATTTTAATTGTGTTTTTTAAACATTGTGAATGGTCAAAAACTAAAATGTATAAAGTGTATTTAATTGAAACCACTAATTTATCCCACTAGTTGCGAGGTTCTGAACAAAGCTTATATCTTTACAATTTTATCAATAATAAAAAACAGATTTTCTAGAATATATCCTGTCCAAATTTTAGTCGCGAACAAAAACTCACCTTATAACAAAACGGTGACACCAGCAGTGCAGCCCGCCAACCGTTTCGTTAACCCATTTACACATTATTTCTAATTTATTCGGAAATAATCGGGGCCCGACGACAAGGTTGACAGTCGGTTCCATTTGTTCGGGCCGCGGCCATTACGCGACTCGCACCCGTGTTGCGTTATCAGCCGCAGATAACGGTACCGTCGACGGTCGTACCTCGAGCGCGATTTCTAATGGAAATGTAGGCGATAAGGGGCCAAGCGAAGCGGGCGCGAACCAGCTCGAAAACCTCCAATAGCACATTAATTAGACCCATTCATTTTTCCGTATTATATTTTGTTTTATAGTACAGCAAGCAACCAGGGTTCGGATGTAGTTAATTAAGACATAATTTAGGTACTTGATGAACTACGATGAAATGTAGTTTTTCTTCAAAAACTACGTTTTTCACGTTCATTAACTACATGAAGACTACTTAAACTATATATCTGTATCTCAGAAGCAAACTACACTCGCAGATGCAAAAAAACGCAACGGAGAAATTTTTGATCAAATTTAAAGTGTTATATTTTTGAAATTTTTAGTCCTATTTTCATGAATTTTTTAACAAGCTGTATATAATTATATCAACTTTAATTCGTAAACTCAATTTTTTATAAACTTTAGTATTTGGCATATTATACAAGGTTAATCGAGGGGTTGTTTTTTTACCGTAACTTTAAAACACCCTGTGCATTAATTTTGTTTGTAAATTTTCTAGAATATAATTTTACGGTCAGAACCATGTCAACTCAGCATTTTATTTTTTGGATCATATCAATACATGTTTGGCTAATTTTTAAGAGCGAAATGAAGTTGCCACCAACAATTTGCAATTTTTTCAATTATCTCATTTCTGTTTGAAGTTATTTTTCAATATGACAAGGCGACTTTGATGATTATTATGAACTATAACTACAATGAACTGCTCATCATTTTCGACGTTTTGAAAATGCTTGGCAAGAGGTTTAGAGGTGGCAAAGCGGTACCAGTTTCATTAAATGAAGTTCGTTTGGTTCTGGAAGAAGAATGGAAAAGCATAACGCAATAATATTGACATATGCAGTATGAACGGACGTATACAGGCAGTTATAACAGCCAAGGGAGGCAATACAAAATATTTTAAAATAGAATAAAAGTAAAAAGTGAAAAAGTATTTATACGGGGTATTTTTACAATTTTTTTTCTGTTTTTATACTTAAGTATTACGGATGTTTTCTTTAATATCGTTGGTTCTGTTATTGTTATGAATGTTTTTTAAAACCAGGACTGTATCGTTAGTCTTTAACGTTTTTTTTTAATTTAGTATAGAGTATCCAATGCAGCGTAAGATCCCAGCCGTTGGCCATCGAGGCCGCCGGACTTAGTACCTATGGATTTTTATTTTTGCCGAAGAATAAAGGTTCTTATTTTTAGATTACCCGTATAATCTAGACACGAATTAGAAGTACTTAGCGGTTATGCGAGGTTATCTTTCACTGCCACTGAGTTAATGAATTCCGCGAGAAATGTTCAAAAACGGTCCCGTCTATCCATAACAGAGAAGACGGTCAACATGTCGAACATCTGTAGTAAAATCTCATGTCTTGGTTTGCTATTATTTTTTATTGTTATTGATATAGTTTTATAGATTAAATGCGTTGATATTAAATATAGTTTAAATTGTTATAAAATTCTGCATCTCTCATTGCAAATATTATTTTTGTTTTAATTGTTGCTCACAGCTACAATTTTTTTGCATTACAGCCGGCGCCGTCCAAAGCCTGCTTATTTAAAGTGGGCAATACAAAATATGAAGTACTATGCAAAATTTTTGGAAAGGTAATTTTAAATTCATTTCAATGAATTAAAAATATTCAGCGTGTCCCATATATGGATCCAATATGACAATAGTCACCAAAACCATCTCACCATATTAAAAAATTACATAAAAAAGTAATGATAGTCATGGTTCAGACCGTAAAAATATTTTTTATGAAAATTTACACATGAAATTATTGCACAGGGTATTTTAAAGTTAAGGTAAAAAACAACCCCTCGATTAACCTTGTATAATATGCCAATTACTAAAGTTTATAAAAAACTTAATTTACAAATTAAAGTTGATATAATTGTATACAGTTTGCTAAACAATTCACGAAAATAGGGCTAAACAGAAATATAACACTTTAAATTTAACTAAAAATTTCTCCGTTGCGTTTTATTTGCATCTGAGTGTATATTAGGGTGGGCCGAAAAAGCGTTTTTTTCAAAAATTTTGGATATTTGTTTTGGAATAGTGCGGAAAAGTTGCCTTTTGTTATTCCAATAAAAATGTGTATTATGAGTTTTTCAATTGTAATGCGTCTTCTGCCCCCTACCAGAACTTGAAAATGTCCGAAAATTTTGAAAATCAAATTTTGGAATTCTGATTTGGAATACCTCTCAAAAATGTTCTTTTATTATTCCTAACAAAATATGTATTTACGGTTCTTAACTTCTCTACTTCTCTACTCTTAATAAATCATAACATTTTAAACTAACCCCATGCGTAACTAAAATGCAAACTACCGAAAATACACTTCAACTACCTACACTTGCTAAAGTATGTGTCAGATATGGATTATCAGACAGATCTGGCAGCAGCGGTAGCTACCGCTGTTTTACAAATGTTGGGATTGTAACAAAAGACAGTTCGGTACAAGTAATAGACAAAAATAAGTTAAGAAGAGCTAGAGAACATGTTAGAAATAAACTTGAAGGTTCCTTAAAATATCAACCGATAAATACAATTTATTTTGACGGTCGGAAAGACAAAACTTTGATTATTGAAAAAAAGATGAGAGATCTCATGGAAAAATATTGGTTGAAGAACATATTACTTTGGTACAAGAGCCCGGCTCAATGTTTCTAGGCCATACAACACCTTCTTCAGGATCAGCAAAAGACCTAAGTTCGAAGTATAGTTGACTTCTTAGAAAAAAATAATTATGAATTATCAGGCTTACTAGTAGTGGGTTGTGATGGAACAGTAGTCAACACAGGATAAAAAAAACGGGACCATTTCTCTACTTGAAGTGAAGCTAGAACGTCCTTTACAACGATTTATCTGCCAGCTTCATGGAAATAAATTACCATTGCGACATCTTTTTCAGCATATTGATGGCTAAACAACCGGCCCCAAGGCGTTTGCAGTGCCACTGGGTAAGTTGTTAGTTCAATGTGTGTGTGAAAATTTAATAGTTATTCAATTTGAAGTTATTGACTGTAAATTACCCAAACTAGATTTTTGTGACTTAAGAAGTACGGATCAGAGGTAGCTGTACAAAATGTGCCGTGCAATACCCAATGGACAATTTAGCGAACTAAAATCCAGGAAAAATCAGTCATTCCCGATGGCTTACTTTGGCAAACCACCTATTACGGTGACTTTTATATTGAGAGTATATGCGCCGATGTGGTTTATAATTAAATCGAACCCATCTTGTGAAAATGGTGCAAAACATGTTTGGCAAACCATTCAACTAACACGATATTTAAGGGATGATTTGCGAGCAATTATACATCCAGTCATACAACGTAATGCCTTTTTTGCACACCCGGAAAGCATGTTAATATGTATGATAAATGATAAGTAACCCCCGCCTCTACATTAGAGAGCTGGCAATGCGACGTATTTTAAATGTGAAGAAAAGGTAAGATCAAGGAGAAATTCGTCCATTTATAATACCGCAACTAAATCTGGATGCAGATGACTATTTAATAGATTGGCACAACATCACAAGAACTTCGCCCCCTCTACTTCGTAACGTAGAAGTTGAAGAATTAAAACAAATAATAAAAGAAATATAGAACAAAAATTTTGAGACTCCACATTATCCTTGTCACACCCAAGCGGTGGAAAGATGCGTGAATTTGGCTACGGAAGCTTCGTTATCAGTAATTGGTTCCAAAAAGAGGGACGGATTTATAAAAACAAGATTGGAATCTCGTAAATTAATGCCCAACTTTGACTTTTTACAGTAAATTTATTTGTTATAATTTTTATATTACCGTAAATAATGAGGTTTCTTATTTGTTCTTCCTAATTTTTAGGCTAATAATTTAAAAGGTACAAATTATAACGTAGATAATACACCTTTTCCATAAAAAAAATAATTTTTATTTTCTCTTAAAGTTTCCGGCCCGGTAGGGGGCAGAAGACGAATCAGGTGAGAAAAATTTTGCGCTCTTTTCCAAATCAAAATTTCATGAATAAATTTTTCAAAATTTTGGAAATTTTTGAGTTCTGGTAGGGGGTAGAAGACGCACTACAATTGAAAAACCAGTAATAAACATTTTTATTGGAATAACAAGACGCAACTTTTCCGCACTATTCCAAAGCAAATTTTCAAAATTCAAATTTTCGGCCCACCCTAGTGTATATTAAGTCACAAAACATAGTTTAGAGAAAAACGAATTTAAAGTTCTTTTTTGAAGTTATTTCCTAATTACACGGTTATTTTTAAACCTACTATTGTAATATTTGGTATACAAACAACTCATTTTGAACTTAAATGAAATGTAAAACTGTTTTTTAAATAAATTACCAATACAATTAATTACAAATACCCACTTTTTTTGAGTAACTAAACATAATTTGTATATTAGAAAAAGAACCGTTTACAGGACTTGACTTATATTAAGTCCCTATTTATGTTAAGCTAAAGCCATATAAAAATATAGTACTGATATAATAAGAAAACATTTAACAGTAGACAGACATTTAACAGTAGACAGAGTCAATTTCAAAAAGATTTAAATCTTAAATCTTTTAAGTCATTTTTAAAATCGAAATGATTTATATCTTACTCAATTCCAACATAGAGTTTATTAAATGATTTAAATCTTAAGTCTTTGACTTAAATCATTTTCTTTCAAGTCATTTTCGTAAAGACTTAAATCAATATAATGTAATTTAAGTCGTTTTTATGACATAAGTTTATATTTTTGATTTAAATCGTGATGATCTGCGAAAAGTCTTTTAAACAAATTATTTTCCTGGTTTAACAATAAACTAATCGAAAAAGTTAAGGATATTGTATTTTCGCTAGGAAGAAAAATTTTCAGAAAAAATATGTTATAACTATTAATACCTATGTCGTTTGTGTTTAAAAAAAATACTGTTTGTAAACATAAAAAATTGTACCCAA